ATAGTTTTATTCATTTCATTGTCAGGGATGCCATCAATGATGTATTCCATTAGGGCGTCATCTTCAATATTTCCGAGTACTGCTAGTTCTTTGAGTTGCAAAAAATATTGTTGGTAGGTTTCACCTGGTTTCATCTTCCTATTTGATATGGTCTTGTGAATGGCTGCGCTGTTCAGATGTAGTCCAAATTCCTCTTTTAATCCCGTTTTCAAGAGTTCCCATGTAGTCGTACCAGTCAAAGATCTCAGGAACAATTTTGCTGTCCCCTTCAAAAGCCTTTTTGCGTAGATCAGTTTTTCAATGCCCGTCCATTGCATGAGATTAGCGATATCTTCAAAATCCTTTATAAAGGTATCCACGCCGTATGCATCGTCACCAGAAAATGCAGTCATAGATTTTTCTAATTCGCAGAAGGAAATTTGTGGAGCAGGTTCAGCAAAGCATTCTTCGTCTTCTTTAGCACCCTTCCGAGGCATTTTACTATCAATAGAATTCTTTGTAAACGTCTTCACGTGAAATTTGAAATGTGAAAATACCCTCACTTTTTCCCGTGTGCGTAGTCTTTGTTCGCAACTTTTGTACACTGATCACCGATCTTGATGTCTATTTCGATCCCGGACGAGCCCCCAAAGTTTTGTGGGATCGCGGTGCACAATGAAATTAGCGAATTTGTTAAATTTTATTTAATCATCAGTTCACAAAAATATACGTCTTTTCTTATTTCGTCTTAATCAATCTGTCACTTATACTTCATGCACCATCTGTCATCTGTCAGGTCGGTGTGGCCAATGGTTACACCTAAATATTCCCACATATATATATATTTTTATTGCTTAGATTGGTGGACGAGCTCACAGCCCACCTGGTGTTAAGTGGTTACTGGAGCCCATAGACATCGACAACGTTAATGCGCCACCCACCTTGAGATACAAGTTCTAAGGCCTCATGTATAATTACAACGGCTGCCCCACCCTTCAAACCGAAACGCATTACTGCTTCACGGCAGAAATAGGCAGGGCGGTGGTACCTACCCGTGCGGACTCACAAGAGGTCCTACCACCAGTAAAAACTGTATAATCTCAAAACTCAATAATTTTACAGGAGAGTTTTTTTAGAGGTTTAACTCTCTCTCTTCGGTCGGTCCCTCACTGCTGAGGATCGTGACTCCGTTCGATTCCGTCAACCGGATGTCTCCATCGATCCCGTTCTGTAGCTTAATGGAGTGCGTCGCTGACAGGTATCCCCAGGTATTCCTCCACTATTTGGTCCGACCATCGTTTGGGACCTCTACCCCTAGGCCTTTTCCCCTCTATTTTACCGGTCACCAAAAGGCGTTAAAAAGGTTTAACATGTAATCTATTTTAATACTAGCTGACCCGGCAGACTTCGTGACCTCTTGTGAGTCCGCACGGGTAGTTACCACAGCCCCGCCTATTTCTGCCGTGCAGCAGTAATGCGTTTCGGTTTGAATGGTGGGGCAGCCGTTGTAACTATACCGAGACCTTAGAACTTATCTCAAGGTGGGTGGCACCATTTACCTTGTAGATGTCTATGGGCTCCAGTAACCATTTAACACCAGGTGGGCCGTGAGCTCGTCCACCCATTTAAGCAATAAAAAAAACCGTAAGGCTGATCCGTCGAACTTTACCATAAGCTAAGATTAGTGTCAGTTTTGATAGAACTACTTACAGTTATCAGGTGTGGGGATGAGTGGCCTGCACACAGAACACAACGAGGTCGCGTTGAAGGTCTGCAAAAATGAATAATGCTATTGTAACCCAAGTAACTGGTCAACACAAGTTATATTATATGAAATGGTATGATGGGCTAATTCTTTTCCCTACCTATTCACTAGTAGCCTAAGGGGCTATTCCAACTACGCTCCGATCATGATTCTGGTCGAACCCGTCGCTTGCGAGCAAGGCCTCGGCGAGTAAATTAACCCTCAGACCCAGCCCACTGAGTTTCTCGCCGGATTTTCTCAGTGGGTGGCGTTTCCGATCCGGTGGTAGATTCTGCGAAGCACGGCTTTTGCTAGGGTTCGTGTTAGCAACGTCGTCAGGTTTGAGCCCCGTGAGCTCACCTACTAGTTAAGGTTACGCTGAAATAGCCTCTCAAGGCTATCAGTTAGGTTGAAAAAAAATCAACTACGCGCGACGGGTAGATGAGCTCCCGGGCTCAACCAGAATTTGCTAACACTGGCCAAGAGCAGTGCTTTGCTAAATCTATCACCGGATCGGAATCACGACTTGGAAACTCAGTGGGCTGTGTCTGTGGGTTAATTCACAAGTCGAGCCCTTCGTCGCAAGCGACGGTTTCGACGATGACGATGACCGGTGCTTGAGGTACCTAAAAGCACCGTTAGTGGATCAGGAGGATCCGTAATGACAAGCTTAGGGCGACGTCGACTGTTTACCATTCGGTCTACAGGATCGGGTATGGTAACTTTTCGATATGTATCAGCGTAGTGTACTTACGGTTTCCGTGATGGTGTGAGAGGCGTCCAATGCTCCCGGGGCGCAGGCGCCGTCGAAAAACTCTCCTACAGCTTTCACATAATCGCATTCTGTCTCGCTGATCACGCCCCGCAGCTGGGCGGTGCGCACGAACGCGACGTACGCTGTCCATGTTCATAATAATATGATATTAACATTAAGAGTTTAAACTTAAGAATTGGCGTATGGCTTAGTTCCATTAACGGCCGTCTGGTGTAGTGGTAAGTGACATGGTCACTACACAAGGGGGTCGCGGGTTCGAATCCCGCCAAGGGAAGATATTTGTATGATAAATATAAATGTCTTTTCCAGGGTTATGGATGTCTATTAAATATATGTATGTGTATAATAAAAATCTTACATTTATATCCGTTATCTGGTACCTGTAATACAAGTTCTTTACGAACTTATCACGGGACCAATTAACGTGGCGTGATTGTTAGTAAATATTTATTTATTTATTTATTGCCTTTCTCTTCGAGAAAAACCCTATTACTACTACATAACATTAAGACATTAAGTATTAATTGGCTTTTAACTGTTTTGCATGTTCGACTCACGTCAGCGTCACCAATTGGAGGTATGTCGGCGTACTACGCATATGCCGTAGTTTAATTAATCAACACAATTAAGTTGTATTTAACGTGAATTAACAATACTTAAGACAACATTTGCATTATTTACAATTCAAGGGAAATTTTACGGGTTATACTTTTTGGCGGGCTTTCTGTCTACCACAGATTATATCAATGTATGTAAAGAATGCTGCCAGTGGCTGTACGTACAGTTACAATCCGCCTACATAATGTTCTTTACGGCCGTTTTCAATAACGTATCTGAGTTTTCGGATAGATAGCTATCTCCGAATATCAGCAAGAGCGTATCTATCCTTAGTTTGCGTTTCACAATAACGGATAAGTGCTATCTCTCTTTAACCAACAGTAGATAGCTTCTTCCCTCCGATTTATCCGAGCCTCTTGATACGTTTCGTTCTACTACAAATACGAAACAACATCAAGATCAAAACTTATTTTATTTTATTCTAAATTAGAACTATAATTTAACCAGCATATTGTAGACTATCATAAACACATTTGTTTATAACAAAAAGTAATAAAAACATATGTAGATTTTTTTAAATTGGACGTATTGCTATTTTTATCCTAGTCGAAATTATGAAACGAAACGTTTTGACAGTCCGTTTACCAATAAGCAGTGATCAGTTTCTTTTGTTTGTTTTTCTATTGTTTNACTTGTGCTTTATAAAGCAAAAGTCTTTGTCCAGGCGTGAAGTACCGCTTCGCTCTGTTGAGGACTCCCAGCATTTTGGACGCCAACTTGGCTTTGCCTTCCAAATGACTCCGAAACTGGACATCGCTCGAAATGTCGACCCCAAGTATCCCAATACTCTCGGAAGGTTGCAGGGATACTCCTTGGAATTGCGGCGCCATGACAAAGGAGTCCTTCTTCGCAGTGAACGCGACGAAATTGGACCTGTCATCCCCACCACATCCTCCCCAACATACCGAAAGTCTTAATTGGGGAGCAGACCACATCTTCTGGAATAGCTATCCCGAATTTTAGAAACGAGGGTAACTGAAGGCATGGATGATTCGTCTAGTTAGAGCTCTGCGTAAGGTTTTTTTGTGTATGGCCCTCGGAGAAAGTGTTAGTAGACTGGCCATACATACCGCACTGCTGGCCATAGAAATAGGCCAAAAGAATTCTAGAACAGTAGTCTCGGATTGAACGTGGACAGGCAGGAACGTGGCTAACTAAAGACATGGACGGAAGATTTGATGAGAGCTTTATACAAGGTCCAATTGCGTTTAGCCCTGGACCGTAAGAGATCGGGAAACATGGAAGATATCCACACCCACGAAGCGACTCGCGGATTTAAATCGATAATTTAACTCACCAAGCCCTCCAAATTCTGGGAAGCAGGCCTTCTTTCCTCGAAGGTTCTCGAAGCGCGTGATGTTCTCCTGCGCTGCGGCCGTTTCCTTGACGAAGGCCGCCACCCGAGACGCTCCGGATCTGGTGTTCTGAACCAGTTTCACGGGCGAGAGGCGGTAATGTCTGAAACATTTGCAACATCAGATGAAGAACCGTGACCGTTGAGAATCTAGTACGCTGACAATAAACTTCCTGGTGGTAGGACCTCTTGTGAGTCCACGCGGGTAGGTACCACCACCCTGCCTATTTCTGCGGGGCAGCCGTTGTAACTATACTTGAGACCTTAGAACTTATATCTCAAGGTAGGTGGCGCATTTACGTTGTGGATGTCTATGGGCTCCAGTAACAACTTAACATCAGGTGGGCTGTGAGCTCGTCCACCCATTTAAGCAATAAAAATAAAATAATAAAGAAAATATCGAATTCGTTTGGAAGCTACTTTATTTATCCCTTACCTATTCAATCATAGCCTAAGAGATTATTCCATTTACGCCCAAATGGGTAGGTGAGCTCACGGGCTCAGACTGAGATAAGTTGCTAACACTGGCCTTATCAAGTGCTTCACAGAATCTGCCATCGGATCGGAATCACGACCCATTGAAGAGATCCGGCGATTAGGACCTACGTATTCTATAACATTCATCATTCATTATCATTATCCTGCCCTGCTCCCAGTTACCTGGGATCGGCGTTATCCATCCATTATACATCATTATACATCCATTACTTCTTAAGTCTACCTCTTCCTCTATATCCTTCCACAATCATAGTTAATATTTGCATACGAACCTCTTTTTCATTTTGTCTCATCATCATACGTATTCTATAACGTGAACTTTAAAATCGAAGCATAAGGTACTTACTGCCTTGCGATATATCCATAATTGGAGGGAGTGGCAATAAAATCGGCTCTTGATTCCTTGATGTCGGTGAGGCAGTCGAAGACCGAGCTCCTCTGCTGACAGGAGATTGCCGGCTGAATGCCGAGGGTGTAGGCTGATGCTCTAACCCAAGAGCACTTGGTTTGCTCGTTTAAGTTCGTGGTACACCAGCGTTGAGCCGGAAGACAGGACGCCGTCGAGTCTATAGCGGGAATGCTACGTACTGAAAAGATATAAAGAATACGTTATTTTGTACAAAGATTATAAAAAAAATCGAAATCACGATCTGACATCAGTTTTTTTTCCTACCTAAGCTAGCCTAGCTAGCTAAGATAGCCTTGAAAGGCTATATCAGCGTCGCCTTAACTAGTAGATGAGCTCACGGGGCTCAAACCTGATGACGTTGCTAACACGAACCCTAGCAAGAGCTGTGCTTCGCAGAATCTACCACCGGATCGGAAACGCGACCCACTGAGAAGATCTGGCGAGAAACTCGGTGGGCTCTATCTGGAGGTTAATTTACTCGTCGAGCCCTTTGTTGCAAGCGACGGGTTCAACGAGAACGATGACCGGTGCTTGAGGTACCTGGAAGCACCGTTAGTGGATCAAGAGGAACCGAAATGACGTGTTTGGGGCGACGTCGACTGCTTGCCATTCTGTCCGCAGGAACAGAAATTGACATCAGTAATGCTCAATATACTCTGGAAATTCCACTCTATAATCAACAGCCTATAGCAGTCCACTGCTGGATATTCTTCTCAGTCGTACGCTGCTGGCGGAGTGCTCGTGGTTATGTAGTATGTCTTATTGCTTGGCTCCGGCTCTTGAGAGATTTCTCCATCTCTCTCTGTTTCTGGCTATACGCGTACATTCAGTAAGGGAAAACAGTACATGATTTAATCAAGTCTGTCCACTTTGTGGGTGATCGGCCGCGAGAGAGTTGACCGTCTACTCTTCCTTGAACCATCAATCGTTCCAACGAGCTTTCACTGCGGATGATTTGTCCAAACATATTAAGGATTCACAATTGCACAATAGACAGCCTTTGTTTCATGTGGAGCTCTTTCAGGATGGATACATTGGTGCGATGAGCAGTCCATTTTATCCTCAGCAAGCGTCTCCAGCATCACACTGTTGGACATAGGATTCTCCAATTGCTCGCCACTGAACACAATCCTTGGCTCCTCTCATCCAGCTCCTGCGAGCCACCCTGCACAGATCATCACTCCACTGAACCTGAGGGCGTCCTGCACTGCGTTTGCCAATTCGCGATCTCCACTCTATCGTTGCCTAGAATAGGACCCAGCATCCCATTTCTGCCAGTGGACCGTAAAAGGAGATTAGAGGATTCACCGTACAACAGCGTTCTTTGTGGAACCAGTTTATTAAATTCGAGATCCTGCATTTGCTGGTGGCATTTAATGGTAGAGCATATTGTGAATCCTCAAGCGAGGACCACATCATTTCTGCCGCGACACAGCCTTTCGTTCAAGTTCGTAAAGCGGGACATCTATTATGCAATAGTAACTTCTCGTCTCAAAATACGACGAAAGAACCTACTGAGCCTCATAGTCGGGTAAAGTTGAGACACTGGTTAAATGAGACACTGTGGCCAGTTTAGTCACTAAAGTACAATCGGATCATAAGGATAACAATTAAAATGCAACGTGCTATCGACAGCCTGACCATACCGAAGTGAACGGTCAGAGTAAAGCCATCTATCGCCTAATAGCCGAACCAATATCGAAGGATCTAGGGAAGGATCGAAGGAAGTAAGCATCTAGAACGCTCGAGAAGTACAGCGCCATCTATTATCAGATAGAATAGGATAGGAAACACACATCGAAAGTACTCGACTTACTACCTAAAAAAAAATTTTTTTTTATTTGTGTCCCCAATCTCCCCAAGGCTCTATCATGATGTGTTTCACGCTTATCCATTCTTTCCGGGACACCCTGTATAGATTTATTGATAAACAACTCACTCGGAGCGGTATAATTGGCTGGAGCAACGGGGGTTTGCTCGAAGACAACCCTCGCGTTCGCGCCCCCAATGAGGCCGCTGAACAATACCGACTGCCAAGAGTTCGCTCCGGGATCAGTACCAGTCGGCCACCAGGCCTGGAGATTGGTGAGGACAGTGGAAGCTGCAGCCCTGTGGAGAAATTTGATGGGTGTGGAATGTTCAAGCCAGACCACTCCGGGAAAGCAACCAATACAAACAAAGGTTTTCTCCCTGTCATTATTATTACAGATCGGTTTTCGGTGAATTTAAAAGTACTTTTTTACTGCTAAAATTCACTGGGGGTAGGACCTCTTGCGAATGTCCCTGCCTATTTCTGCCGTGAAGCAGTAATGCGTTTCGGTTTGAAGGATGGGGCAGCCGTTGTAATTAAACTGAGACCTTAGAACTCATATCTCAAGGTGGGAGGCGCATTACGTTGTAGATGTCTATGGGCTCCAGTAACCACTTAACACCAGGTGGGCTGTGAGCTCGTCCACCCATCTCAGCAAAAAAATTAATAAATGAGGAGATTGTCAAATCGACTATATCGAAGTGAAAACTTCTTAAGGAGGTATTGATAAAATAGATCACAGGAACAGCCTTTTTTCGGGCACCAGACCTCATGCTTGAGGTTTCCACGCCGAGGTGGTGCGTGAGGTATATTGGTCTTGACGATCTGTAGAGGCTGCAAGCAGGCCGCAAGCCTAAGAATGTTTTAGGGCCATACACACCAAACGACTCCCCTTGCACTCTTTCGATCCTCTCTTGCACGTCCGATCTCCCAGGGTCAGAACCCGGACAGAGTGGGGGGTTCCACCCGTCAACGCTGTACCGAAGCAGAATGACTTACGTAGACGCGACAATAGCTCCCCAGGGTTGCTTCACGAACGAACAAGGTGCCACGGGGTTGCTCAAGATCTCAGGGGTCAACGCCTGAAGAGTTCCATCCGGACACAGCAGGGAGAATGAGGCTGCGTCTTGTGGGTTGCGGATCTGAGAATATAAAAAAACGAGGTTACTAACAAATAAATTGTTATGTCGGCAAAAGTAACGCCATCTGTCATCAAATAGCAGAAACGATGATCAAAAGAACTAGTGACATCGAGAACGTTCGAGAAGTGTAACGCCATCTGTTATAAAATAGCGAAAACACATCGAAACGACTTGTACCCTATACACTTGTCGTGTCGACTGTATGGTTACTGATGCAATGTAAGCGGTGTTAACTGCTCTTTATTAATAAAACAAATTAGTTCCATTTTTACTCCGTCTATTGTCACAAGTGTCTGACGTGTCGGGTGGGCTATGCACGACTGACTAATGCGAGCGAAGTACAAAACCGCATACGCTACTAAACTGTGTCCCTACATCGACTATAAAAGCGTTGCAGAGATGACATGAAGAGAATCAGTCATCGGTAGCACTCGAAGCGAAACAGCGAACGTATCACCTGAAGCGAAGCGGGTGAAGGGAATAGTGAATTATGCCTTAAGTACTTTAAGTGTTAACTAGAGTTTGAATTTTATTTATCCCGAGCCCCAGCGCGTAACAATATCATCATCATTCTCCTGCCCTTCTCCCAGTCACCTGGGGTCGGTGCAACATGTTTTCTCCTTCCATACTCTTCTATCATATACCATTTCTTCGCTGACTCCCCTCTTACCCATATCGCCTTTCACGCTATCCATTAATTTTTTTTGGGTCTAACTATTCCTCTAAAGCGTTCCACATTCACAGTATAAGCAAATAGCGCATAACAATATCATTTTCGCGTCGAAAATGTCTAAATAAATCGGGTCTATATACGAATTCCTTCGACCATAATTATTCTTACATTAAAATAGTTCCGGACGTGAAGCCAGGCCGCGTACGCCACTGTGGGGACGCTGTCATTCGTGCTGACCCTCAAGCACTCCAAGGCCTGGATGTGGCGGTTCTGGTTATTGACTCCGGCGACGCTGATGCCCATGTCTATGCTGTATCCTGTGCAGCCGGAGCTCCCACCGCATAGGGAGCACAGAGAGGGGAAACGCGTTTCTAGAATGAAGATGAGACAGTTAAAAAAAAATATGTTTGTTTATTGCTTAGATTAGTCGACGTGCTCACTGCCCACCTGGTGTTAAGTGGTGACTGGAGCCTATAGACATCTACAACGACCCACCTTGAGATATAAGTTCTAAGGTCTCAGTAAAGTTACAACGGCTACCTTACCTTTCAAACCGAAACGCATTACTGCTTCACGGCAGAAATAGGCGGGGTGGTGGTACCTACCCATGCGGACTCACAAGAGGTCCTACCACCAGTGATAAATGGGACCTCTTGTTACTAGTGGTAGGACCTCTTGTTACTGGTAGTAGGTCTTCTTTTTTACGCGTGACATTTATCTTTGTAATTAAAGGTCCATTTTATTTGGTACTAGCGACCCGCCTTCGCTTCGCTTCGGAAACTGTAATTTATTATTGATTTCTCCACTATTTAATGGATGTTATTATACATATAAACCTTCCTCTTCAATCACTCTATTTATTAAAAAAAAATGTGTGCAATTCACACGTGGTAGAAGTGAAACCTTCCAAAATTAAAATACAATTATCCTAAACGTCTTAAGTATATGTAAAATTTTGTCATTAGTAAATAATTTTAAGGTAGCGCCCTCTGTGAATTGATATTTTAATTTCACGTATAATCCTAAATTAAAATTCACTACAAGAGCTTTCATACACACGTTAGTATTAAAAAATCTCACAGATGGCGCTGTATTAAATAGTATGTATATTTCTGTCTCATTCTTTGCTGGCTTCATCCTACACATTTTTGTATTTGTGTCTCTTACCTGTCGTTTTTTCCGTTGCATCCGGTTTGAAATCATAACGATTCTAAAGAAGTTTTCACTTCAAAAACCGCATCAAAATCCGTTGCGTAGTTTTAAGATTTAAGCATACATAGGGATATAGGGACAGAGAAAGCGACTTTGTTTTATACTATGTAGTGATGATTAACGAAAGACGACATTATGTGTAAGAGGGGAGTGAGCGAAGAAATGGTATATGATAGAGGAGTATGGAAGGAGAAAATATGTTACGCCGATCCCAGGTGACTGGGAGATGGGCAGGAGGATGATGATGATTATTCTGCTAATAATTAGATCAATAGATGTACTGACTTAAGTCGGCGTCAACTGTAGAGTTTGAACTCCAGGTCCCAGGTCTGCAGGCAGCTGAGAAGAAGGAGCTTAATGTTTCCACTTCGATTTCCTCGGCCGTTTTTCTGTTCGTGTCCACGTCGGGGCAACGGTCGGTGCGCGCGGCCTGACAATGACAATAACAGTAACATTTTTAGCAACGAAAAAAATAATATTGCTTTGATAGGTGGCCAAGCTCACGGCCTGACGTTAACTGGGAACCAGAGCCCGTGGACATCAACGACGAAAACGCCGCCACGCACCTCGAGACGTCAGTTCTAATATCTCAGTTTTTAGTACAACGCTTGCCTCATCCTTCGAACCGAAACGCCTTACTGCTTCACGGCAGAAACAGGCAGGGCGGTGGTACCTACCCGCGCGGACTCACAACACGTCCTACCCCCAGCAAATTACATTTTATAAACGTTTTGATTTTTAATACACAATATATGCGCATAATGTTTACTTGTATCCATACAAATCGTCAATTATGTATTGTGGAACTTAAACGGAATACTTTGGGACTACAATAATGACCACGGTAGCGTGGTCTCCGTGTTCATTCGGAGCTATCGGATTGCACTGAACTAATTCTAAATCATTAAATATATGTTTTTTCTAAATTTTTTACAAAGTACAGGAGAAAAGCTGGCGCGAATAATTTCCCAACTAAATATAACCTCATCTTAATTCAAATGAAATCTAGTTTAGGCCACAATCGCATATTCAACTAATACAGCTAGGCCACAATCGCTTATTCAACTAATACAACTAGGCCACAATCGCTTATTCAACTAATACAAATAGGCCACAATCGAATATTCAACTAATACAACTAGGCCACAATCGCTTATTCAACTTATACAACTAGGCTACAATTGAATATTCAACTAATACAACTAGGCCACAATCGAATATTCAACTAATACAACTAGGCTACAATCGAATATTCAACTAATACATACAACTAGGCTACAATCGAATATTCAACTAATACAACTAGGCCACAATCGCGTATTAATTAGCACTCACCACTTCTTCCAAAGTCTTGAGCACTCTTGGGGACCATCTCAGGTCGGACTGGTCGAATCCGGGATGACAATATCTACCACCACGCAACCCATCAAGTCCTCCGGTGTGGTTATTCGGAACTACAGCCACAGCTTCGAAGGAGAACGTCTCTGAAAGGATAATGTTTGAGCTAGAATCATTATCCGAAGGGTCTTACGTGCGTTATCCTTACAAAAGACAGGATCTTGTCTGATATTCGTTGGGCAGAAATAAACTCTAGTGCCTCTCCATAGAAGTATTTTAAGCTGATTGTCCTACTCTTTTTCTAAACCCTTCAATACTGACGGGGCGATGTATGAGCAAACGCGTCACATACATTTCTGACCAATAGGGCGTTTCAGTTCGAAGGGTTTCCGCCTTTGGACAATTCGCGTCTAGGGTATGAAGCTGATGATATATACGAATTCGCTCATAGACGCAACCCACAGAGTTTCTCACCGGTTCTCCTCAATGGATCGCAGTGCGGATCCGGTGGTACATTCAGGATTGCACTGCTCTTGCTAGGGTAGATGTCAGCAAAACCTCTCGGGCCAAGCCCTGTGAGCTTGCTTACGAAACTACTGGTCGTAGGTACATAAAAAATAGAATTTGGCAGAACGAAACGACTGGTTCCCAGGGTGTACCAAACCACAAAAAAAAAGGAATGTGACTAACCCAATCTACTGACGTCTCTGACGGTTGCGATGACCCTATTGTCGTTTGGCTGCTGCTGTGATAATAGAAGTAGCTCCTCCTCGGTGAAGAAGCCAATGTCCGCTTCTCCGCGAGCCAGTCTCAAAGCGCAGTCAATTCTGAAATTTCAGGAGGTGGTTTTATGTAAAGAATATGGAAAGAACTCGCGTCACATACGCCTCGCGATGAACAGGATTGTTTGTTCTTTGTGAATTAAATTTGTATATATCGAGGGAAGAAAGCGTAATTGTCGTAACTTGTAAAACCCAACTTAGCACCACAGCCTTATACTTAATATGTAGATCCAATATATTTATTAAATTTCTTGTGTCGCGGTGTTTGTTGCCAAACTCCTCCGAAAAGGCTCAACCGATTCTCATGAAATTTTATGTGCACCTCGCGTACGTCTGAGAATCGGTTAACATCTATTTTTCATACCCTTAAATGGTATGGGTGGTCCAGCCAAAAAAAATATTTCCCGCAGAAATAATGTATATGGCAAAACAACGTTTGTCGGGTCAGCCAGTATAATATAATATGGTAAAAAGTGATTTGGGCCAAAATGCAAGATACGATATTTCCGCTATCTCCGTACATAACGATGTATTGTTACGCCGGTAAGAGTAGTGCCATCTATCGCCGAATAGCCGAAACAAATATAGAAGGTACTAGTAAAATCGAGAAGTACAACGCCATCTATTGTCAGATAGCAGAAACACACATCGAAGCTACTCGTCTTGTCCTGAATTTACTCGATAAATCTAGGGATGTCGTATCGGCTATAAAAGCGTTGTAGAGATGGTACGGAGTCAGTCAGTAATCGGAACTACTTGAAGCGAAACAGCGAACAGATCACCTGAAGCGAAGCGGAAGAAGTGAATTGAGAATTTTTAAGTGTTTGTGAAATGTTTTAAGTGTTCTAAGCCTTAAATTACCCCGATTTATCCCGAACTCCAGCCAATACCGTCTTTACCATAAGGGCACACAGGGGCCGTGCCCAGGGCCCCTTAAGGACCGACAATTTCTCTCATACATTTATTCGGTTTCCGTTATCGTGATCGTAACCAAAAAACCAGCAGCATTCTAATATCATTAATGACATATTATATCATACCGTATTTGATTACCTATAATAAATGATCATACTCAGTAAAAAAATGTTATTATAATTCGCTTTTTTTACTTTCCAAAAGGGCCTCAAATTCTTGTGTGCCCAGGGCCCCAGCCTTATTTAAGACGTCGCTGACTCCAGCGCATAACAGTTATATATTTTAAGCATATCTAAGTATGTACGTGTGTATATCAGTATCTGTATCAGTCTCTGCTTAATATAGCACAGGGAATCCTAGTTTGTGGGCAGTGTTGTCCCCTGCTATTATTATCTCAAGCTATTCACACCGCAACACTATACAAAATACGTAGGGCACCTATCAATTAGATCAAGAGTATGATGAATCCAAAAACCATCTTCTTAGGAAGCAGACTAAGGTAATCCCTTGTTAGGTTACGGGGGTAGCAAAAATATAATGCCTAGGGGCTGGAGTAGGGCTGAATCGATGTCTTGAAGTCGAGATAATGTTAAATCATCTAGCCATAGGGAAGATGTTATTCGATGCAATTCTTCTAAAAATACTGTATTCATTAGAAATTCTTTCCGGTTATATACACATACACATAAACATACATAGATATATCCGTAAATATACATACAAATACACCATGTAATATAATAATTATTAATAAAGAATATTTTTTTTACGTTTTTTTATTAATAATCTAATTAATCTCTTTTCCAAGCAAAGTTAGGTCAATGCCAATACGCACCTAGTTTCCACTCTGCTGCACGTCGCCTGGCTCCCGTCTTTGTCTAAACTCTGGCATAGTGACGATGAAGACGACAAAATGCACACACGATCTGTAAACATAAGACAACAATATATCTATACTAAGTAATATAATATAAATCTTGTGTCTACAGTGATTTTTGCGGATGTTCCTTTATAACTACTGAACCATGCATCCGATTGACTTGAAACTTGGTATCCATGTAGAAAATACATGTACTTAATGGATAGGCTAATATTTATATGAGCGTTGGACTCCCTAATAATAATGACAATAAATAATAATTTTAATTTTAAATGCCCAGCGAAGCGGGCGAATACGGCTAGTCTATTTATAAAATGTCGATGTTTGTATGTTCGCTGTAGACTCCAAAACGATCGGACCAAATTCGCTCACAGACACAAGAAGTTGAGCTTCTCGCCGGATATTCTCAGCGGCTCGCGTTTCCTATCCGGTGATAGATTCTGCGAAGTTACTCCTGCTAGGACTAGTGTTTTTATTTATTGCGTAGATGGGTGAACGAGCTCACGGCCCACCCGGTGTTAAGTGGTTACTGGAGCCCATAGACATCTACAACGGAAATGCCGCCACCCACCTTGAGATATAAGTTCTAAGGTCTCAGTACAGTTACAACGGCTGCCCCGCCCTTCAAACCGAAACGCATTACTGCTTCACAATAGAAATAGGCAGGATGATGGTACCTACCCCTGCGGACTCACAAGACGTCCTACCGTCAGTAATTATGCAAATTATAATTTTTCAGGTTTAATTTTTATTACACGAATGTTATTCTGTCACCGTGGAAGTCAAACGTGAACATTTGTTAAGTACGTATTTTATTAGAAAAATCGGTACCCGACTGCGAGATTCGAACACCGGTGCATCGCTACATACGAATGCACCGGACGTCTTATCCTTTAGGCCACGACGACTTCGATCGTTATTTACAGTGTACCTACTGTGTTATTGGAATTAGGATATACATCATAGTTTCTATACAATTCCAAGGACCCAGTTACACGCTATCAGAGCGTAACCTTATCGTAACTCCAATTGATAACACACGATAAGAATTCAAAGTCAAAAGACGCGATAGATGGAATGTGTTGAATTGAAATTTATTCTTTGACCGTTTTTGAAGTGACAAATTCTTTAGTTCGTCATCGTTGTGATTCGAAAGTCGATGAAACGAAAAAGCGACACTAAAAAGAGACAGACACAGATAAATTCATTAGATTTAATGGTGTGAGAAAATGAGATAGAAAGCATTATATAGTGCTTTTTATATTCGTGATTCTCTTTGTGCTCTGTGGTTTTATTGCTTAGGTGGGTGGACGAACTCACAGCCCACCTGGTGTTATGTGGTTACTCGAGCCCATAGATGTCTACAACGTAAATGCACCACACACTTTGAGACCAAACAACTCAAGAGCAGCTGCTTCGCAAATGAATCTACTACACGATCGGAATCGCGACCCACTGAGAAGATCCGACGAAAAACGCAGTGGGCTGTGTCTATGGATTAATTCACTCGCCGAGCCCTTCGTCGCAAGCGACGGGTTCTACCAGAACGATGACCGGTGCTTGAGGTACCTAAAAGCAGCGTTAATGGATCGGGAGGATCCGTAATGACGTAATGGTTCACGAATTTAGATGTAAATTATGGAATGGGTTACCCCATTCGAATAATTAATTGAAGTTCAATTAAAAACATTGAACCGTCAATCTATATATATATATATATATATATATAACTAGTCAGGTCATAAGTATTGTCACACAGTAAAAACTTTTCTTTTAGAATGCTGGCCACAAAAAAGTTTATTGAATTCGAATTTCGAATTGTTCATGAAAAAAAAAAATGCATACTTTTAGAATTTTACTCATTTTTAAATATGGAGTGGACGCTTAAAGAAGACCGTGTTGCAGTTAATGCGATGCATCGTTGCGGTTACGCGCCATTTCAAATTTTTAACATACTGAAAAATTTGAATATAATCAAAAGATTCGTTTATCGTACCATCAAACGATACAATGAAGACTCTAGTGTAGATGACAGGTCAAGAAGTGGTCGCCCTCGGTCTGTTAGGACTCCAGCAGTGATAAAAGCTGTGAAGGCGCGAATTCAAAGAAATCCCAAACGTAAGCAGAAACTGTTGGCCCTTCAGATGGGGTTAAGCAGAACCACGGTGAAAAGGGTGTTAAATGAAGACTTAGGGCTTCGGGCATATCGAAGAAAAACAGGACATCGTTTGAATGCTCGTCTAATGGACCTGAGACTGAAGAGATGCCGCGCTTTGTTGAAGCGGTACGCGGGAAAAAAATATCGGGAAATTCTTTTTTCGGATGAAAAAATTTTTACCGTAGAAGAGAGCTACAACAAACAAAATGATAAGGTGTACGCACACAGTAGTGAAGAAGCGAGCAACCGTATTCCGCGTGTCCAACGAGGTCATTTTCCATCCTCGCTCATGGTATGGTTGGGAGTTTCTTATTGGGGCTTAACAGAGGTACATTTTTGTGAGAAAGGTGTAAAAACGAATGCAGTTGTGTATCAAAATACAGTCCTGACGAACCTTGTGGAACCTGTTTCTCATACCATGTTCAATAACAGGCACTGGGTATTCCAACAAGATTCGGCGCCAGCTCATAGAGCGAAGAGCACACAAGACTGGCTGGCGGCGCGTGAAATCGACTTCATCCGGCACGAAGACTGGCCCTCCTCCAGTCCAGATTTGAATCCGTTAGATTACAAGATATGGCAACACTTGGAGGAAAAGGCGTGCTCAAAGCCTCATCCCAATTTGGAGTCACTCAAGACATCCTTGATTAAGGCAGCCGCCGATATTGACATGGACCTCGTTCGTGCTGCGATAGACGACTGGCCGCGCAGATTGAAGGCCTGTATTCAAAATCACGGAGGTCATTTTGAATAAACTTTAGTGTCATAAGAATCTATGTTTTGTTAAGTTCATTTTGGTATATGAATGGTTACATAATGAATAAACTTGTTTCAATTATTTTACATTAAACATGTGACAGAATTTATGACCTGACTAGGTATATATAAATGAATTGCTGTTCGTTAGTCTCGCTAAAACTCGAGAACGGCTGGACCGATTTTCCTAATTTTGCTCTTGAATTATTTGTGGAAGTCCAGAGAAGATTTAAAAGGTAGATAAATATGAAAATGCTCGGATTTAAATAAAAATAACAATTTTGTTTTCCTTTGATGTGTCCCCCGTCGGACGGATTCCTTTTGTTTGTTTTAGGTTTATTTTATACAAAAGTTTAGGTCTTTTATTGATCGATTGAGGCACTACGAAGTCTGCCGGGTCAGCTAGTGTTGAATAAATTTTTTTGATTTGATTTTATTTGATTTGGAATAGTTACTTTGGCATAACGCTAAATTTTACCTTCACTTCATTTAAGTAGAAAGTGAAAATATTTTTGAATTATAGAATGTTAAGGAGCTATTTAAACCCTATTTTGAAACATTTTTATTGGTGCTCCACTCGTTTTGGTCTTAGAGTGATGCTATATAGCCTATAGCGTTCCTCAATAAATGCCCATTTATTGAGATAGCCCTATCTAACACTGAAAGAATTTTTCAAATCGGACCATTCGTTCCTTAGATTAGCGCGTTCAAACAAACAAACTCTTCAGCTTTATAATATTAGTATATATTTGTTTAACTCAATGTCTACCATCGATAAATCATTGCCGATAGAGTTCGCGAGCACGATTTAAATTGATATCTTGCATGGCCTACGCATAACATCATATTATCGTAGGTAACGGCTTGGCTCTGCCCCTGGCATTGCTGACGTCCATGGGTGACGGTAACCTCTTACCATCAGGTGGGCCGTATGCTCGTCTGCCTACAAGGGCAATAAAAAAAATCGTAATATTCCAAATTAGAAACCATCGTTATGTTTCCAAAAAATTTTTGAAAAAAAAACTCCAAACTGTTGTAGGATTATCGATTAGATTTGAAATTGACAACATAGTTATACATATATATTTTTCAACTTGACATTTTTTGAAGCCAGTACTTGACTATAATGACCTCCTTGTATTGAGGTAGCAAACATTTATGAATGAAAAATAGAAAAACTATTAAAGTAGACAATTTGGACTTTTTGGCGGGAACGCTAGGAGCGAAGTTGTGGGATTTGTTTTGTTTCGTTTATTCAGTGTTTCTTCAGGTTTATATGTGTAATAACGGTAGTTTATTAACTGTTTAGAATCTGTGAAAGTACACAAATGTGGGAAAATGAAACAAAGCCGCTGGACGTAGCTTCTCGTGATCCTCCAAAAACTCCACTGAAAAAGTCTCAGTAAATGACCACCATTTTACTGAGATTTTATTTCATCACATATCATTTCATTTGTAAATTTTATTCGTTTTTAATCATTTATGTTATGTAGCGACTAGTTTCCTTAGTTTATTATTATTCATAAACTGTAAATAATTAAAACGGCATATTATAAAAATCTTATTACTTGACACTGGCTAATGCACAAACCGCCCCGGAGCCAAAATATAAAGAAGAAGAAGTAGACAATTAATAGGAAAAAATTAGGTACCTACGCTACGTAGGCCTTTCTATTAAATAATCTGGTTCCTTGATATGACAGCTTACTAGGGTTGACAAAATTTTCGGCTTTGATAAATTAAGTAATTATATTTTTTACGGGGTATTTTGTAACACGTTGTTTTTTTTTTGATTTTTATTAGACGATGTTATTCCTTCACCGTGGAAGTCAATCGTGAACATTTGTTGAGTACGTATTTCATTAGAAAAATTGGTACCCGCCTGAGATTCGAACACCGTTGCATCGCCTCAACACGTATGCACCGGACGTCTTATCCTTTAGGCCACGACGACTATATAGGTGTATTGACAATCCCCAATTAATTACATAATATTATCAGATATCTCCAAACGCTTGAGGGAGGCTACACGTGATGCTAAGGCTGGCTGGTACTTTGCACAGAGAGTGAGTCTGACTGTCTAACATTAACGCAGCCAGTATCTTGGGAACTGTGCCTTCTTCTAGCGCATTGGAAGATTTGTTCTACTGTGTGAATATTGATTTATGTTAAATTATTTTGATTTGTTAGCTATACTAATATTATAAAGAGGAAAGAGGAAAAATTTGTTTGTTTGTTTGTATTCAATAGACTCCGAAACTACTGTACCGATTTGAAAAATTCTTTCACTGTTTAGAAGCTACACTATTCCCGAGTGACATGGGCTATAATATTTTTTGAAAAAAAATAGGGATCCTTACTAAAACTCCAATAATGCAATCCAAGGTTTAAAAAAAATTTACTTAAATATTCTTTACATCGCGTGCCCTTCGAAAACTATTGATGACAGAATAAAATAATGTACTACGACTTTGTAGAACACATTATTATTTACAAAAAGTGTCGCGACAGCACATGTCTAACTATTATAGTTATGCCGCAATAAGTGTTCTTTTATTTAAAAAAATAAAACAACGTCAAATATCGTTGAAATTTTTGTTAAAGACCCGAGCGGAGCCGGCGCGGTCCGTTAGTTTATTAATAAAGATTAACAAAATTACATAATAATATTATTATGAATAACACTTACGACTTTGGGCACGGCTAGCGCCGAACACGAGGGATAAAATGAGAAGCTTCGCGAACATTCTCACAGGCACTTCAAGAATTTCCTCAAAAAGAAAACAAACTATTTAAATGTTTAAAGGACTTCAGTGAGTCCTTGAATAGCCGACCACGCCCGACGCACTGAAAATTTTCGGACTGAAGCGTCCAACAGTATAGGTTAATGTGACTCGAATACGCCTCGGAAATTCGCCTGTATATCTATCGTATCTTATCAAACATTTCGAAATTCAACGTTAAGGTATATTATAGTGGTGATATAATGATTGTACATCGCTGCGATAACGAGTCGAGCGCTAAATAAACTGAGCTAACGGAACATAGCAGTTTTTTTTTTCCATACCTACTCGCTAGGCTATTCCAACTACGCCCGGACCGGTAGGTAAACTAACGGGCCCTATTTTTTATGATTGCGTGATTACTGGTGCACTTTTCAGTTTCACCAGAACAGATGGGCGAGCAAGGGCTCAGCCAGGAGGGGTGGGATTAGTTAACAGCTACCCGAGCGCCTCCAAAGAGACCTAACAACTCAAGACCAACTGCTTCGCGAATAAATCTACTACCGGATCGGAATCGCGACTCGCTGAGAAGATCCGACGAGAACCTCAGCGGGCTGATGCATCGGTTAGGTTGCACGTCGAAATCTTTGCCGAGTTCCACGAGTACGGTTACCGGGGTCCCTACTCCTAGTGTTAGAGCTAAAGGCTTCTATTGTAAGGGTTATTGGACCTGATGTATCTGTAGGGACGTATCTAGGGCGTCAACGGTGACTGGTTTGGAGAGCAGTCAGCGGCGGCAACGATAAGGCGATTATCATGACGCATAGCCTTAGTAGCCGTTCCGACGCTGATTTCATGTGTTTCCGGATTAATTCGAGGCCCAGGTCGTGTTGCCCAGCCATGCGGCCCACAGGTTGAAGGAGACTGATCAAGGGACGTTATTAATGATAGTAGGACGTCCGCTTGTTAGTCCGCACGGGTAGGCACCACCAACCTACTTATTTCTGCCGTGAAGCAGTAATGCATTTCGGTTTGAAAGGTGGGGCAGCCGTTGTAACTATACTGAGACCTTAGAACTTATATCTCTAGGTGGGTGGCGCATTTACATTGTAGATGTCTACGGACTCCGGTAACTACTTGACTATAAATAAATGCAATAAATAAATAAAAATGAAAAAATAGGATCTTTCTCGAACAACCTTTAGTTAGACACAGTTATCGTCACTGTTCAACTGACTCGATGTCATAATTATGCCACGGACATGTCCAACCCGGAACATGTCTTGTCGGATCACTGTCAGGGCTTATAGGCTCTTCAAGCACCGGACAACCTTCTCCAGCGAACTAACCGATAGACACGGCCCACTGAGTTTCTCGCCCGATCGTCTGACTTGGGATGCGATTCCAATCCGGTGGTAGATTCTGCGAAGCACTGCTCTTACTGCTGGTAGGACCTCTTGTGAGGCCGCACGGGTAGGTACCACCGCCCTGTCTATTTCTGCCGCGAAGCAGGAATGCCTTTCGGTTTGAAGGGCGGGTAGCCGTTGAACTATACTGAGGCCTTAGAACTCATATCTCAAGGTGGGTGGTGGCATTTACGTTGTAAATGTCTATGGACTCCAGTAACCACTTAACACCAGCTGTGAGCTCGTCCACCCATCTAAGCAATAAAAAATCTTGCTAGGGCCATTATTAGCAAACTTTCTCAGCCCGTGAGGTCACCTACCCGTCCGGACGAAGCTGAAATAGCCCGTTATGCTACCGGCGAATAAGTAGGGCAAAAGAAGAGCTCTGATGACAGTTCATCACAATATTCGTAAGGGAAGTCCTTGAACTTAATGCGATTGAAAACTAGAACTGTCATTCAGCTGTGTTCCGAACACAAAAAATCATTGGGCTAAGCTTAAAAACTCGTCCGCCGCCGTGTCCACTAATATCTTATCATTCTCGGAATGAATATCGATCCGATATCGACTGATAAGAACGTACTCCGTGAAATCATACCCTACTTTGAAACTAGTGTGACCATAATTAATTCATTGAGTCTGCTTTTCACCGGGAGAATCGATATGATTGGTTCAGAAAACAATCTGACTGAGCTGAGAAGATCGAATTCTAGCGATAAAGACCTTAGAACCGGGATATTAAACCGGAAACACTTGAAGTCAGCGTCGGAACGTTACTTCGATAAGGTTATGCGTCATTTATTTATTTATTTCTTTCTTTCTTTATTCCATTCAATACAAGGCTTACAGCTTGCACCAAAACGCCTGACTCGTTAACACAAAAAACATTATTAAGTATGTACTATTATTATGCTAAAAATAACATTATTTTGGAAAAAAGTATTCCCCAACTATCGGCAAACATAATATAATAATCATGATAATCGCCTTATCTTTGCCGCGACTGACTATTCCCCGAACCCTGATCATGCAGGAGCCAGTCACCGTCGACGCTCTAGACACGTCCTTACGGATCCATCAGATTCAATAACCTTTACTTTAGTTAGACGCTTTCAGCTCTAACACTAGGAGCCGGCTTAGGGACCCCGGTAACCGTACTCGTCAACATTAGCATCAGCCCGCTGAGGTTCTCGCCGGATCTTCTCAGCGGGTAGCGATTCCGATCCGGTAGTAGATTCATTCGCGAAGCAGCTGCTCTCGAGTTGTTAGGTCTCCTTCGGAGGCGCTCGGGCAGCTGTTAGCTAATCCCACTCCTCCTGGCTGAGCCCTTGTTCGCCCACCTGTCCCAGTGAACCTGGAAAGGCCTCAGGACCATCAGTAATCCTTCAATCATAAAAAAATAGTATAATCACGCCTGGGAACTGACTCGGAATTTAAATCACATTAATTTTTCGCAGAAAAACTGTTATGATAAGCTCCGGTAACTACTTATTTTAAAACCAGCTTGGTCGTAAACTCAACCATCCAAAAGCTTGATAAAAAAATCCACTTCTTTTTAAAACCTAAGATGCCGCAATCTTCATCATCGTCATCATCATCAAACTATAGCAGTCTACTGCTGTACATATGCCTCTCCGATTGTTTGCCACTGATCATGATCTTCAACTTCTCTCATCCAGCTCAATGATGCCGCAATACTTGTGTCTAATTAAAAAAACGCAGCATTGTCACCCTAAATTCATACTACTAAACCTCCAAATAACCAAGACACGCAACGAACACTCATTCAAAAGGAATCCAACCTAAAATCGTTCACATAGATACAGAAAAACACAATCGTCGCGGCTCTATTGATTTCGGTTAATATTTATCCGTTTCAATACAAAGTAAATTCGTGATGCTTCACCTTAAACACGTTATGAATAATACGGATATTTCAAAAATGACGTGCTTATGAATAATAGCTTCAGCGGAAATTGGAAATTTCATTTATAACTGCAATGACGTTTGATTTTTGCCCGCCAATCACTACCGCCATTTTAAGTACGCAGCGTGGCCCGTATTCTCGTGCGATGCCCGTCCGCGCGTAGCTGGCATAGCTACCTTAGGCTTACTTTACTTACTAGGCTACCTTAACTGGCTTAGGGTACCAGCGAATAGGTTGTTTTTTTTTTGTAGCCTTTTATTCAGATCCATATTACAATTATATGACTAAAATTAAATATAATATATAGAATACTTAAATTTTATTTAAACCTTAATCTAGCCTATTATTTGAATTTTTCTTATTTTCTGCAGATCTGTTTGCCAATCGACAAAGGCCTCCTCCAACCTTTTCCACTCATGTCTTTCTTGAGCCACTCTGTTCCATGTGACGCCTGCCACTTGTCTTATGTCGTCATCCCATCTTTTTTGCGGTCTACCTTTTTTCCTTTTACTTTCTTTAGGATACCACTGCGTCACAATTTTGCTCCAACTATATCTACCTCTAACCATGTACCCTGCCCAACGCCATTTAAGCTCCTAATTTTGCACCCTATATCTATTACCTTTGTTTTGCTTGTTATTACGGTTACTCAGTCGGTCTGACTTTTTCACGTTCATCATGCTCCTCTCCATTGCGCGTTGGCATGATGCAAGCTTGCTAATCGTGTTTTGTGATAAAGCCCATGTTTGACTACCGTGCATGAGAACTGGTAGTACTTATGCAAGTATTAAATAGTTTGCTTTTAATGTTCATATGGCAGCGAATAGGTAGGGAAATTAAAAAAGAATAGTGCAGTAAATGCGAATAACTATCGATTTAGCGACGTAAAGGTATCGACTTTTTTACTGGTGGTAGGACCTCTTGTGAGTCCGCACGGGCAGGCACCACTACCCCGCCTATTTCAGCCGTGAAGCAGTAATGCGTTTCGGTCTGAAGTAGCCGTTGTAACTATACTGAGAGCTTAGAACTTATATCTCAAGGTGGGTGGCGCATTTACGTTGTAGATATCTATGGGCTCCAGTAACCACTCAACACCAGGTGGGCTGTGAGCTCGTCCACCTTTCTATGCAATAAAAAAAAAGACTAGTCGATACGAAGAGGGGTATTACATTTTTTACGCCAAAATTCGGACATACGAGACTATAAGTCAGACCGTTCTTATTGTATGAATGCAAAGCATACGCTTACACAGAAAGAAGAGATAAAACCTCTCGTGAAGGAGCCAAAGGTGCTGAGACATGTGTGAGTTTTCTAATCTCTAATTATATTGATAATCAAAGGAAATGTAAAGCTTTTTCACATTGGTTTATAAATAAATAGTCATTAAATAATATGGCGTATTCGTTTTTTTTTTTTTATTGCCCTTGTAGACGAGCATACGGCCCACCTGATGGTGAGTGGTTACCGTCGCCCATGGACTTCAGCAATGCCAGGGGCAGAGCCAAGCCGCTGCCTACCACTTAATACTCTCCACAAGCCTCGTTTGAAGAAAGACATGTCATAGCGCTCGGGAAACACCGTGGAGGGGAGCTCATTCCATAGCCTAAAACTTTTTCAAAACTTAGCCAATTCTTTTAACGGTCTGCACATTCGCCCGTTCCCCAACTTACACTGCCAGCTCATACAATTAT